AGGCATCGATGGTATGCTGCTACAGCCAAGTCCGGTTGAAATACCCCCAAAGCTCGCCCCATTGTTCAGTAGAGTAGGTCACGCCAGCTTGTGCACAGCGCAACTTGATCTCACGCTTTACCCACTTAATACCTCGCTCGACGTGAGCAGGATCAATCACCGTCATGATGTCTTGGACATCACGTGTCATTGCAATCAGACATTATTCCTCCGGAAATAGTATAGCGTTTCATAGTGCGTCGGAGCGCTTGTTTCAGATGCAACAAGCACCCCAACACAATTGCGTTCGGAAACTGGGTTTGTAGAGTGGCGCTTCGAAGTCACAAACCACTTCGGCCGGTTCGAGCTGCTGGTCCGTTGCACGATAAAATGAATCATATCCCAGTAGGCGTCGCCAGTACACGAGGTGCTCAGAATGTAGAACACAGGCAAGTCCACTCCAGAGGCTCGATCGTGGACCATGAACACAACGCACGGTGCGTAACCAAGCGGGACACACCGAAAAGTGCATTTCACAAGCAACGTGGTACCATGATAACGTAGTAGCGCGACCAGAGATGGGTGCGCCCACCCAAGCGGGGAGGCTTGTTCAAATCGTCGCGGTTGGTGGTGACGTAGTAAAACTGAAAAAAAAACCTCTTCGTCTAGTGCCAATGAAAGCGGTGGAATTTCAATAGAGCCATGAACATTGCCAGAGTAAAGCGCGCTTCTTGCTCGATGTGCTCGTCTGACATCTTGTTGCTCTGACAGCCCACGAACAACGTTGGGATTGTCGGCTGAGTAGAACTGGCGTCGCAATTCGTCCCACACTTGGCGCGCAGGCCAGGCGACGTGCTCAATCACAAGAAGGTGGGCTTGAGCTTTCATCTGGTCCTAAACGTTGAAGACAACGTTGGCAACGGCTTCGATGCGGCATGTGTGAAGCTTTACAGCAGCATACGCCATCGATGTAATAATAAACTCCAGCTTCCCTCTGCAACATTGGCGAAACTTAGAGCACCTATACACAATCTTCTTGAGGACGACTATGCCTTGCAGTACTTGTAGCTCATGTAGAAGCATGTCATCCACTCACCTCGTCGTGGTACAGGCACTACATCATATGCGAGTCGCTGTCGAGCTTGCTCGAACAGCAACTCAGTGCTAACGATGTCCTCGACCGGCTCAGCTGGCTCCACTTCGGCATCCTCCGGCGCGACCTCGACCGGCTCAGCAGGCTCCACCTCGACATCCACCGACGCGCCATCGTTAGCTTCTCGATTCATCTTCTCCACTGACCAACCAGCAGGTGCACGAGTAGCTTCGAGGTTGAAGAAGTGCTTGAACTCACCATTCATTTTAAGATCCCATGTCAGATCTCCAGTAAGATAAACATCTGATCTGGAATCTGATCAGTTCCGTATACGTTCCTTTTCGGATCTAACCGGGACGGCGGCGGCACCTTTGTTTTGATGCTCAATAGTTAGCGCAACACCATTGACCAAAATATATCATCGTACTTAGCTGGGGTGGACAGGCTCATGATTTTTTTTTTAATTTTATCAAAGTTTTCCGCGGGGGACAGCGACCTCCACGCAGTAAGGCGGAGGCCGAGCGCTGGAAGGACATCATTGACAATTGGCGCATCGTAGAAGGGCCTGATTTGTCTAATCTAATAGATACAAAGTTCGCTACAACTTCTTGAGAGGAACGTCTATTCTGTGGGGACCATTCGAACTAACCGGTTTCATCGCTCAGCAGCAAACCCAGCTACTTCAAGTGGGGTCGGCCGAATTTGCAGACACGAAAAAGGAAGGTGCTTATTCTGCTGGTTGTTCACATTGCTAACTATTACTGTATGTGTCCAAAGATGTACTCACCTAGACCAGTTACACCATTGCATGGCGACGTTCCACCGTCCACCCACCAGCTAAAGATGGACGACGAGTGGGTGGAGGTGAATGGAATTCGAAAGCGGCGTCAACGGCAGTGCAAGATCTGTACTATACGGAGAACAAGCAGTACACAACGGCAAGTGACGCGATTCTACTGTCCCGATTGCAGTAAAGGCTCCAAACGGTACGTTGCTATGCTCTGTCGCTCTTACTACTGGTTCCTAGCACGTAAAATGCAGTGTCTACTTGTGTGACAAGGTGCGCCAAGCACATTGCCCAAGTAACAATCAGACGTGCTTCTCCATTTGGCACCTACTTTGGCGCAATGGAAACGAGCGCCCACAGCCGCGGTATCCAGCTGAGGGCTCCACTAAAGAAGCGGACGGGAGGACAAGGGGGTCGTGAAGAGGAGGGGGCGATGGGGACGAGGAGGCGGCTGCAGGGCTCGGCAATGAGGGAAGCGATGGTGGTGAAAATTCTGATAGTGATCAGAACGAGACAACGGAAACTGGGGGTGACGACGCGGTAGAGAGAGATCACCAAGAGTAGGAAACAGTGAAGCTGCGTAAGTAATAGTCCAAATGACTTGCTTTAAGCAAGCAGATGCGATGCACAAATTTGCTTTCGTAGCCGTTCTGCACGTGACTCCGTCAAAAACGATTCATTCCCAATAAAACAGCCATTTGCACATGCATGATGTCGCGTATGGGCTTTACGGAATCTACTCACCATGCTGGATATAAAGCATGTGGGTCCATAATACGTACGATTGCAGGATCTTGTACAAATATACAGACACCGATCTTTTTTTTCTATACAAGTTTTACGTTAAGACTTTTTTAACATGCTTGATATCAAGCATGTGAAAAATAGTCTGTGCATTCAAGATTTGCTCTCGTAACGGGGAGGTTAAGAATACTGTATTGTCGTGAGCTTGGATTAGTGCACGCGTATGGTTCACGTAGAGCAGGTCGAACGCGAGAAGCATTAGCGGCTGCTCACATCTCATGCTTCGCTTATTCACCAATGGGACTAGATGAGAAACACATGGACTGGCAACAAAAGCAGCATGTATTCTTCCAAAGCATCGCACGACGTCTGTCATTGTGTTGTCATATTTTTGTAGTCGGTAGGATGCATCCAACAGCGGCCGGATGACACCCTCAGCATCGATTAAGTTTCTCCAAAATAGCGGATCGCGAAAAACAGGTAGCGTTGCTGGGAATTCAACAGGATATCAATATTCGTGAGCATGATTATCTCTAGAGCCGTCCTAACGCGAAGCAGGCATGCTTTGCAAGCCTGCATGATATTCCAGCGGGTCTCACAGACTATAATGAATGCCATTGTTCCTCGTAGATCGCATAAACGCCCTCGTTCGTCTGCACGAGCCACTTTGCCGATGAAATAATCATATTTTCTGTCGCAGAAGCTGCCTGATCTGTCATTGTCTTGAGCACTGTCTTCAGAACGGCGTTAGCCAAGTTGTCCACGTCATAAGCGAAACACCGTGTGAAACAAGATATTTGGCCATCTTAAGGTCAGTAGGTGTCTGGCCCTAGCGCATTGACCCGAATCATCAGTAATGACGGCAATAACGATCCATCCTAGTGCCAACGCTACCGGAAATGACCCCTCCATCGACTTGGCTATGGCAATTCCATGTTGCGCTGGGCTGACGGGAAGTAAATCAAACTAGACAGCAATACCAAACATGCAAAGTTGGCATATAAGAAGACGCCATTCTGGTGTACGCCAGACATGTACTTTAATTGCCCCCCCCCACGATCCTCTTGCTTCTCTCGCAGGCTCTTGTTTGACGCAGTTTCTGCGATTTCCGCGTTTATTTAAGAATACGACCTCCAAGGTCTTTTCTTGTAGGTAGCTCATAGGGGGGGGCTTCATCCGTGCGAACAGCCGCTTAGTTGAATCACGCTCGATGAAATAGTCTGGTAGCGCGCACTCAGCTTGAAAATCTAAAATATCACGCTCAAAGCAATGTTGCTCCTCCATAGACATAAATAAATCACTAATCCGTGTTGCTGTTTTGAGGCGGTGCTACTCTTAGCTCTAATTGAAGAGACAGACTGCAGTGACAAAAGCGCAGGTAGGTTTGTAGCAACAGCCTCCGTCCGATGGTATGAACAGAGCTTTAGATGACTGCGATAATCTTCGGCGCGATCACGAATTAGCTCTAGTGTTGCCACCTTGCCTGTTGAGATGCGCTACCTGGCACGTTTTGCTGACCTTCCAGAGGTGCTTGTCGGGTACGGTTCCATCCTTGTGGTTAAAGAGTACTTGACTCTTGTAGAAATTACTGTATGGGCTCAAACCCAATGCCTGAACAGCCAGGAAAGTTAAAGACTATGATCCTGGCCCCAAGCTGGGGCGAATAACAATCCGTACTGTGCAAGGTCTCCTCAGGTCGAAAGGATCTTCAAATACGCTTACGAAACAACGCGTAATAATATTATAAACCCGTTGTGATGTAGGTTTCATTTTTACCGACTTATTTCCAACATTCCAACGCATGTAGCCTCTATCGTTAATTCGTCCGTTGCCAACACTGATGATCATGCTCCGTTGACCTTCTTCGACGTTTTGGCGCTGTCACTTCGACGGTGTCAAAGCGAGCATCCATAGTGTCGTAGCGTATCTCAAACATCATCCGCACGTTCGCATCATCCCTCGATACAGCGGCAGTAGCCGCGTCCTGCCTTCGGCTGCGTCCCGTCTTCAAAATGTCGAGGTGGCTTCAGGTGGAGTCGCCATGCTTCCTATGGTGAGCCCTAGCGAAAGGCTTGGACTGCAGGTTGTGGCTACCATCCGATAAGTGAGAGATTACATTTGTTTTTGTGACGAACATGATATCATTCCTGACAGGGCACGAAAACTAGTGGTCATTGTACGGACAAAGTGGAAAAAAAATAAACGAGGACAGCATTTTCGACGATGCCTGCGGATGTTTTTTTTTTCATCTACGGTGTGTGTAAAATTTACTGTATTTAATGCAAATAAAAACTTCCCTTTCATCATGAAGTTTTGTTAATCGCTCACAATGTTTTCGTACTTAATCGCATTTATTCCAATTCTCAACCGAACACAGCAAAATTTATCAAACCCAATATGAATGCGCTTCGTCTCGCCTTCTGGCGGAAGCCGCTGCACGTGGAGACGTCCTCTCACTCCGTGCAGGAATCCGATAATGCCCCGGAGATGGAGCGGACGCTTGGTCTTTTCGACCTCATCATGATCGGCATTGGAGGCACTGTCGGCTCGGGCGTCTTTGCCACTGCCGGACTCATCGCCAGCAGTTACGCGGGTCCAGCCGCCACTTTATCGTGGTTATTAGCTGGTATCGGCTGTCTATTGAGCGGTCTAAGCTTCATGGAGCTCGCGTGTCTGATCCCCAGCGCCGGCAGCACATATGCGTATGCTTACCACGCTCTAGGAGAGCTCCCGGCCCTGATCGCCGGCTTCTTATTAACACTTGAGTATGGCGTCTCCAGTGCCGGAGGAGCGCGTAGTTGGAGCGACAAACTAACGCAATGGATGGACTCTCAATTGGGCGTGCAAGGTCCCGACTGGATGAAGCCCAAAGACTCGACAATCGACCTCTATGCGGGGCTGTTAATGACCGGTATCACGGCGATTGTCCTTTGTGGCATGCAGGCCGGGAAACTGGTCGTGAATGTGGTGACAATGACGAAAATCACGGTCGTCATGTTTATTATCGTGTTTGGACTGGCAAATTTTAGTGTCGACAAAATTTCCCCTTTTGTACCTGACCAAAGTGTCGTCGAAGTGCATGGCAAAGAAACAGTTGCCTTTGGCTGGCCTGGGGTGTTGCTAGGTGCTAGTGCCAGTTTTTATGGCTACATTGGGTACGACGAGGTCTGTTGCCTTGCGGGAGAGGCAAAAGATCCCGCGAGGAACATCCCTCGCGCAGTGGTGGGGACGATCATTGGAGCTGCCACATTAAGTATTTTAGCGACGTTTGCGCTTGTGGGGATGCAAAAGTATACAGAGATCGACGCAGAGGAGTCGTATGGCAATGCCTTCACCAGTGTAGGGATGGATTGGGCAGCTTCTTTCGTTGCAACAGGAGAAGTATTGACTATGCCGATCACGTCGTTCATCGGCTTTATGGCGCAACCACGTGTGCAATACGCCATGGCAAAGGACGGGTTGTTGCCGGCTGTATTCTCCAAGGTGGATTCCAAGGGAAATCTCTTCCGAGGGACACTATTATGTGGCACTGTCGTCACTTTACTCGCGATTTTCGTCCCTTTCCATGTGCTTTGGAACTTCATCTCGCTCGGCATCTTGGTCGCATTTAACCTCACTAACGGATCTTTGCTGTTGGTTCGAGTGTCGGGCAGTTCTAAAACAGAGGGAAGTGATGGAAAGCAGTCTCAAGGTGCCATGATTGCGGGATATCTCGTGTCTTCACTCGTCGCAGCTTTCCATTGGCAGAAAGGTGTCGTTGCAAGTGTCCCGCTCTCTGCCACATCTGATATCTCACTTTTTGATAGCTACATGCGCACAGTTGGCCCGTTTGTCGCCGCGCTCTTCACGGTGATCGCTATTGGTCTCATGTTTGCATTAAGTGACGCGGAAAAGAAACAAACTGTGGCGTCAGCTGCAGCAAAAGAAAAGAGTAAAGAGCAAAACGGGGCAGTTGAGATCGTTCTGACTGCTAAGAAACAGGACAATTGCAAGCCTGGTTGTCGCCACCGAAGTCGCTCTTTAGAAGACGAGGAAGACGGTGCTAGAGAGGAAGATGATGAACCTAAAGACACAGATCGACCCCTTTCTACAGTGGCCAGTGAGAGCGACGAAGACACGATTGAACCGTCCAGCAGCAACCTCGACGAAGAGAAGGAAGAGTCAACATTTCGAGCACCTTTCGTGCCGTTCGCTCCTTGTGTGGCGATCTTCTTTAACTGGTTTCTATTCGCCCAAATGGACGGCATGAGTGTCCTACTCATCCTCTTGTGGCTGCTGCTAGCTGTGGTTGTTTACTTCAGCTACAGTCGCCACCAAAGTCTTGCCTTTCAGCAGACGCAATACCACCAACTCGCACAGCAATAACAGGCAACAATCAAGTGAGAGCAAGTGTATTACATTAAGATATCCATGTCAACCTCGTTTTAAAGACCTCCTGCGATGCCAAGGTGAAGTTGCTGTTGACGTTGTTGCTGGGCAACATGAAGCGTGTTAAGTTCCTGTAAAGTGCGGAAACAATCTTGCTTAAGGTGCTCGTAGTCGACTTCTCGGGACTTGGAGTCGATATATTCCTTCAAGTGGAAAATGTTCTGCTCGTGATGACGCAACTTTTGCTCCAAAGCGTCCAAGTTCTTGGCTGTCTCTTGCTGGGCCGTCTCGTGCACCAGATTTTCCAGTTGCGTACTCAGCGATGTGACCTGTTGCCGCATGGCATCTCGACGGCCAATGTATTGCTTCTTTAAACGCAATAAATGCTGTTTAGTCTGTGCGTGCACTTCTTGTAGCGCGTCGATTTTCCCGAATTCCGTCATGTCGGTCGTCATAGTGTCCATCTTCTGCAACAGACTACTGAGTTCCAATGCAATCTTGGCGTCCAATGTATTGACCTTATCGAGCTCAGCTTGACGCTTCTGGAGCTCCATAGTCAAGCGCTGTTTCGTCGTGACAGACGACTCGAGTTGTCGCTCTTTAAATGTCAAGTCGCCGCGCATTTCTTCGAGGTTGGCAGCGTTCGTACCGGGCAATTTATCCTCCTTGGCCATACCGGCTGATATGTGTTCCAGCAACTGTACAATCACTCCTTGAGTTGCACGTTGGGCTTGCATCTCGGCTTCTTTTTTTGCTGGAAATTGTTCTAAAAACGTCGACATCTCCTTGTCTTTAGCGAACAAGGCTTCGTATTTGTGTGCTGGGTCGCTCCCACTGGCACGTTCGTCCAGTTCGCTCTGAACGTCTGCCACCACCTTAACTAGCTCCTGTTTCTCGGCACCTGCGGACTGCAATACGCCCTCTAGAGCCTCCATCTTTGCCTTATCGTCCTTCACTTTAGCAAGAAGCACAGCACGAGCTTCATTTGGGTCCATCTGCGCCGTCTTGGCGTCTTCAGCCGCCGCGTCGCGCTCCTTCTGAAGCCGGCGGGCTTGACGCTCCAGAGCTTCGTACTCGTCCCGGTAGCGGTCGGAGCTCAGCTCGGCTTCTTTCTGATGGATAGCATGCATGACCAGTTCCAGCTCCTGGGATCGAGCTTCGATCTCCACCTCACTTTGATGGTGTTCCTCTAATAATTCCTTATAACGTTGCAGTTTCTGTGGAGCTAACTGGTTAATCTTGTCCTGGTGTTTACCGTGGATTTCCGTCATCTCCGTCTCCATGTTGCGCACACTTTTCTCTTGCTCTTTGTGCATTAAGAAGACCCGATCCACGTCTTCCGCTTCTTTGGCGTTGCGTTGATGTAGTTGCTCTTGCACCTGACGGATCTCGGCCGGGTCGGTGGCACTGCGCATCTTGTCCATAGCCAGGTTATAGTCGGCTAGTTGGCCTTCCAAGTCACGCACTTCGAGCGCCATTTTCTCGTATTTTCGTTCCAGTTGAGCACATTGCGCTTTATCCTTAGCGTCCTGCTCAACTTCTCGCTGTAACTTCTCGATCTCGCTCGTGATCTCCGCGGTCTTACTGTGGAGTTTCCCCTTAAAGAACGACGCATCTTGTACCTGTCGACCCGGTCCGGCACTGCCGACACGCATCCCCATCATACCTTGTTGAGTTACGGGTCTATCGGAGACGTTCACCTCCGTATTAAGACTAATGCCGTATCCGGCGGTTTGACCAGGTGTAGCGGGTACTTGTTGCCCCGTTCCTAGTCTCCCGGTTAGAGGCCGACCACCTGAAGCGGAGGTGAGCATCCCACGCTGTCCCGTTCCCGGACGTGCTCCAGTGATGGGGTTGAGACCCTGACCCGTTCCAGGGCGACCGGATGGCAATCCTCCGACAGGTGCAAGGCCACCGCCCGTGCCAGGACGTTGACCAGAACTTGTTCCAGGACGACTCATGAAGAAAAAATAGGTGCTGTGCTTGGTACGTAGGTGGATTGGAGAGCGACTCTTTACGAAGTGGCGGTTCATATTAATAATATTTAAAATTTTTTAGCAATAACACGGCGCTTGACCCATTTCGAAGTTGAAGAATTTTTTTGATTCGATTATATCCATGATAAACCTACTTTTTTGTTAGCTGTTACTAGTACTTTCGGTGTGTTAGTGGGCCACATAAAACTAGGTCATAATAAACGAATAACGGTTTATATACTACATTTTTTTTAGTGGAACTGTAGTAAGTGATTGTCATGATTGTGTGGTATTTGCGATCCAATTTTTTAGAAAAAAATACCTGAAATAGGTCATTTTAATGTCTGCCAGGGGTGGATCTAGAATAAAAAAATACAGTAGAAATAGTACGGATTTTATTGAGAATATGGATGGGTGGGGGGCAGTAGAAATAATAAAAATGCTGCATTTGCAGCTATTAGCTTGTATGGGGGGCAGTCGTTTTCAATTTAAATACGGTTTTGAATCGCTGCTAGAATAGAGTGAAATGTTGGCCTTTTTCACAATTGTTTTTTAGTAAGTCACTGCTAGCTGTGCTGACCTTATTGCTTCCAGTGGGCAGGCTATCCGCGCCAAGAACAGCTACCCTAATTTGAAATTAAGTCGTTCATAAGCTGCGTAACTGTGGGACTGTAAGACAAAATAATTCTTCGATGTGCAGAAGTTTTAAGAAAGCAGAGTTCATCAACATATCTACAAAATATAGAAAAGCCCCCTCAGATGTCTTATGAAGACCACGAGTCACCAGGCTTACAAAAATGAGTCTGTTTAGATAGCCAGAGTTGGTGGACTTTGGCATACGCGAGCTGAAGTCTGGGGTCCCACCGGTCTCTGCAATAAGATCGGTCAGGCTGTTCAGCACCTAAAGTACCAGTATAATGTAGCGATGCACTGCACACACGTCATTTCAAAATAACCGTAAGCTACGCCTGAAATGAACTTGCCGGTTAGGAGCCAATAACCGCCATTAATGCAGCTATTGGTTTCAGACGGATTCAGTTTGATCCAGTATTACCGAAATATTAAGCTCACGTGTCTTTTCGCATTTTTTACTGAGCCCAAAATTTGAAACTTCAACCCTTGATCTCACCATTTCAAATAACAACCGTCCAATAGCTGCTCAAGAAAGAGAACCTGTTGCTGAAAAGTCGCGGTTCTTGTCCTTTCGCATTTAAAACTCCAAGAACAAAATTTCTCAGAACCCAGTTCCTAATTCTTAGGGGTTTTGAGTAATAATCAGAACCGTGGTTTCCTTTTAGGCGTGCGTTAAACCCATGCGTATCCTAAGATCGGTATCGATATTCAGGTATTTCGTGAGAGCATAAACTACTAGTAGCTACAGATTCGCTAAGTAGATAAATTTGGACCATCTCCTCAGCCTGACAATGCTGTACGTCTTAATAGAGGAGCGACAACTAAGGTCTGAGCTGCGGATGAGCAGCACTTTCTAATGCGAGGAAGCGTACGGCACAGCAGTTAGGCTGTCCGTGAAATTTTATCAATCATGGGCATTGGTTGTATATCATCGACCAACACGAAGAGAAGTACATGTCTAAGTACACATGGTACTGCTAACTCTTCTCTTGCATCATCTAGAGCAGTATGTACATGTACAAGAGAGTCTTCATAAATCTGTTCTGTAAGTTCGGCTCAAACTTCGAACATCCCCCGGCCCCACAGGATGGTAGGCAAAAAAACTTGAGCTAACAAGTGCAGAGTATCTTGTTGATGACGGTGAGTCTGCTGTGTCACTGACATCGCTCGAGCAAGCTGCAATTTTGGCTTTAGCTTGGAATTTGGTGAGGTATTCGAAGTCTGTTCGTCGCTCTGGTGTATAGATTATTTCGAGGTCACAGTGATCTGCTGTCGTCAGCAAGGCTGAAGGCGTTGAATACAGCGCAGATTCCAGCGGATCGGTATCGCTCATGCAGGCCGACACCAGACTTGATGTGGTTTAACCCTATTGCTGCCGTTGCCACTAAAACCCTGCAATATGCTTGGTTTTACACTTTTTATCCAAACAAAGTGTGAGGATTTTCTTTTGAACGAATCACGTGGTTTGCGGAAAACCAAGCATATTGCTTGGTTTTATTACAATAACTGCAATAATTTTTGGTAAACCCATGCAATATGATATAATATGCTGCGGGGTGCAGAGTGAAACCCAGCATAAATGCATGTTTTACATTTTACTGTGGGATATTTATCAAACAAAATCTAAGTAAATTTCCGGCAGCAATAGGGTTAATTCGTAGTCGACGAGACGAAGATGCACACGCAGGATACAAGCAAGCAGCTCATAGTGGGAACCCTGGCTGATCTCTACGTATAGGATCTTCTTCAACACGTCATGAACGGCGACGTCGATCCTGTAATCGCAATCAGCAAGATGACGCATGCTTTTGCATAAGTTACGAAAGCCACGAAGAGAGTCAGCTGGATACAAACGCCTGAAAGCTAAAATAAAAGATCCACACAAGTTCTTAAAGCTTGAGGACGGCAGCGATCTGGATGAGCGCAGTACTGTAGCCATCCGACCCAGCTGGCTACGCTTCCAGCTCTAGAACTACATTAGAACTTCCAAGATAATCGTAGCCGACGCTGCGAGCTGGCCATCGCTGTTGTATCGTCATCACCATATATCGTCCACAAGCTAAAGCCAGACTATCAGGATATTATGTCGTGCCGTATCGTCGCCCAGCTGCCAATACTTCCGAATAGAAACTGCTATGTTCGACAGCAGATATAACGATTGACGAGCTCGAAGTCACGTACGAGGCAGAACGCGTCGCCATAATTCTTGCCTTAATAGGAGTTGCCAAGAAGTCGAACGCCTTTGTTGTCATCAGAGATCTGACGCAGCGGTGTACAAGTCGATCAACGTATTGACAAGCACTAAACTGAACATCTCGTGTCTTCGGAAATCGCAACAAAAGATTGCGGGCCACCGACCTAATATCTTCACGCCCTGAGCGTTTCTCAATTCCGACTTCCGCATTCCAATAATGGTACATAAAACCCATCGTTGTACATCTGCGTCGTTTAAAATCTCTTGCGCCGTTTCAATTAGCTCACATGGATCCCGTAAATCATATTGTCCTCACATCTAGCGCTAATTTGTTTCCTCCGTTACCATGAAGATTCGCTCCACCTCTAAACGAGCATGTTTCTAACGGTTTCGGGCGTCACAAAATATTGTTCGCCACGTTTGGGCTATCTTTTTCTTCTCTTTTTGTAGCCGAACCTGAAGATCTGCGTACATTGCGCGTTTAATTTTCAGCGTATATCTTAAACTATGAACCTGGCCACTCGACATACGATCGACATTGTTATCTACTCGAAGAGTTTGCATTTTTTTTTCATGCACAGCGTTCGCAGGCAATCAGCAACATTGTCGAGTGGGCTTTCGCAAATGTACCTTTTAAAAAAGGATCCACTGCTGCTTGGTGGCTGTCAAGCAATCGTGCTTCTTCCTGTCGTTCAGCTTTCAGTCTTGCTCGCTGTGGTGCCAACATACACTTGTCGAGCAGTGTGTGTGTTCCGACAGAATATTGCGCTGTAAAACAGCAAACAAACATGTGTCAAACATTCAATTCTATGCAACATGTTGATAACGTTTAGCTTACCAGATGGGGTCGTTCATCCAGGCCCCCACTTGTAACATAAACAACACCATTTCCTCTTGATTGAACAGGCAGGCTGGACCCGACTTTATCGGTAAGATTGATCTTTACCCCGATGTCAGTAGAAGCGTTGCGCAGGCAATAAATCCATGTTGCACACGCAGATCCAACCTCTTCTCATCGAGGAATTTCCATGCTTCAGTTACCCCTTACTGATTTTGTTGCATGACACACCAATTAGGCTATTCTCGGGAAGCACGCTAATATCAAATTAGCACACACAAACAGTTTTCAGTCTGAAAGCTGACACATCAGACTTTGTTGCATCTGCGCTGCTCGAATACCGCCGAGCTATCCGCACCTGCCCCGTTTGAAAGAGGGAGACCGCGCAAGCAACACCGGTGCTTATGTGGCTAATGTAGGAAAACATTTTGACGCCATCAAGACTAAAGTTTCATTAGCGCTGTAATCCACGCTCCGTAAAGAGACGCAAAGAAGAAAGGGCCGTAAAGATCGAGCCACAAAATTCATGCCTCCTTGTATCAATAGTTCCGTTACAGGCGCTTCTTTAGTACGCCCAAGCCCATCCACTGGAGCTAGGTAAAAATAAACAAGTTGTTTTAATTTAGTTGCATTTTCTATTTTTACAGTAAAAATAATTTTTTTTTTCAAAAGTGTGTATCCCAAACAGACCTACAGTGGGAATTCCGCAGAATGAGGGATGGACAGCCCTCAACGGATTTATACCACGGTACTTGACCTCGGATAACATTCGCACGACATTTGAGAGACTAATGCAGTGCGGTGCATCAATACCAGTATCACGGTACAGATCGGCACTATATATGTGTCAGTTAGTACATTGTGTGTGTCAGTATAACCGGCAAGCATCGTTTACATCAGAGAAGGAGTACATAGGGGGGGGGTTAAGTCTGTTGAGCCAGCAGTGCCATCTCTGTAAGTCCCTCTGTTGGTTACTTTCAACAGAGGAACTTACAGATCTTTCAACTCATACGATTCCGTGGTACGCTGTACCACCTAGTATTTTGACTGGGCACTGCCACTTGCAAACAGGACGATCAATGAGCGGCGAAGCCGATCTTGACGCGGCCAGCGCTCTCTCGACGCCAGAGAGGACCACAACGTCCTCGACCTCAACCGCACGAAAGAGGTTTGTGTGATCTGAAAGGATGATTGAGTGCCTTCGGTCTCTGTGCCTTGGTGCAATGCCCCCCTCCTTCACTGGCAGACGCGCATCTTGAAGGTGGCGAATGTGCCCCATAGATAGCGCGGGCACCAGCCACAAAAATATTCATTTCCACGCACAGAATTCCCACGGGCATGCACATGTAGACCAAATAGCCGTATATGGCTCTCTGTAGCGACATCCATCGT